TATATATATATGACCTTATTGTGTTGCAAGTTCTGTAAAACTCTACTCCAACAAAGAATTAAACAAGAGCAGTCCTTGACCTCAAAGAGTTTGAAATTTAAAAGAGAGCATTCTATTCACATCACTTCGTTAATTACTTTTGAATATGTATGTGGGGGAGGGGGGGGTGCAGGCTTTAAAAAGTTTGAAGCTTAAAACACAGTGGTAAGCTATTCACTTCACCTGGTTATTTTTTAATGTGTTTCAGGTTTTCCTATCTACTGGGTCTGTGTGACATGGAAAAACAAACCCAAGTCTTTTGGAAAAGCCATAGGTAAGTTCTGTTGTAGAAAAATGTACTCATTACAGTAAACTCAATTTCCCGCTGTTGAACCTGTGAAAGGCTTCTTGGCAATCTTCAGAGAGTGAATTTGTGAATGATATTGATAAATACATAATAGCCTACAATGTTATAGGTCCCCTAAGGTACTGAAATAGTCATTTTGCTGGCCAGGGGGAGTTATTGCAAAGTCGATGAATACTTAATTGACTGTGAATTAGCATATGTTGACTTTTAACTCATCGCCCTTCACCCCCCCCCCCCCCCCCCCCCCCCCTCCGTCCTCTTATCCACTGTTTGTCCCGTCCCCTGCGCTTACAGTTACACGACTTTAACACCTGAGCTCCTATGCATCAACTGCTAGATATACACCACCGTAAACTGTGGTTAGGTAGTTTAGTAAACGCGCTCGCAGCAGGGCGAATAGGCCGCGATACGCCCTGTAGATTTTTGTGACCAGCCGTGGAGCCTCGCGTTATGGTGGGTCTAAACAACTCACAGTTTTGTTTCGTTTTGTTAATTGCACTACCAGATCCGATACATCTTTTTAAACAAAAAAGAAAGGTCTTCAAAATGGCTGTCTTCGCGTGAAAATCGATTTGGTAGAAATGGAAATATTTGCTTCTGAAAACAAGGCAATTTTTACAACGCGATAAAATGAGAACTACTGGCTGTATATTTATGAATCTTTCAGAAGTTATAGATTATCCATTCTAGTTTCTTTTGACACCCGAGTTGTTTGGGTTGAACCTCACACAACGCTATGGGGATTCCCGTAAAAATGCATATATACCACCGTATGCTGTTGTGGTGTTTGTTTGGTGCTCTGAAAGGGGAAAAAAGTGACGCTCCGCTTAAGCGTGTGCTCAGATCTATCACTTTAAAGCCCATCTTTAAACTCAAATCATTCATGTCCTTTGCATCTCTTGATATTTCCATGGAGAAGAACTAGATTTGTAGAAAAGCATTTGTAAGTTATGGGTAAACATCTTTTTGCAGACCAATATAGATGGTCTAATGGTTAGACTCTTTGCCATAACTAAAGTATAACAGGTAAGTTCAATTTCCTATTGAGGAAGATTTTTGTTGAGTATCTCGGTTTGTCTTCAGGGATGGTGTATTCTACTCAGTCTGAGTTGGCTCTGACAGGCAGGGTCAAAATAGCCTACATCCTAAATAACCTAGATTGTGTTAGTTGAGGAGTAAAGCATTAATAATTGCCGTTATCATTTTGCAGGGCCTACGTGAATGATTTTGTTTCTACTTTTCAGGTAAAATTACATCAGTAATCCAGAAGCTGTTTGTACAGGTACCTGGCTAGATGCTGCTATGGGACGTAAAAATGTTCAGCAAGTCTTTCTCAACCTGACTACTTGTTGTCATGACTATCATCACTTTGTGCCTCTGAAAGTCTTGGTAAATCTTCTTTCATTTAACTTCTTTTGGGGTGTCTGTTCCTCTGTATCTTTTAGGTATTCTGTGGGTGGAGGCCCGAAGGTCAGGCTGTTTGGGGTGCTGTCTCTAGGAAATTTATTGAACTCCGGCTATGTGGGTCTAGATTGATGTGCAATTATAGACTATTGATGGTATAAGGCGCAAGGCAGCCATGTAGATGAAAGTTAATTTTTCAGAACGAGCCAATTCTCTGTACATGGAGAAAAAACTGAAAGCAGGTATATATTGTGTGTATATTATAGGGATAAAAAGTGTTTTCTTACTCTGGGTTTTGTTTCCCCTTATCCAGAATCTAATTTAATTAAAAAACGAAGGTGCTAAAAAAGAAACACAGTCAAACATTCACATAGTTGAGTCAGTGGGAAGCAGAAATATTTTCTATACCTACAAATTTATTTCATATACGTGTTTGAAATACAAAGAATATATAGGCTACATGTTCAACAAAAAACTGGGGACATGAAAAGCTGTTTTCTATGTGCTGGTTCGCTATGTGCTTACTAGACTGTAAATGGGAATCTCAGGATTGGCTGGTTTGTGCTGAGCACTATCGATGTGCTAATTGCGCCTTTGTAAAAATCTTTTATTAATCTCATTTTGTACTCTGATATGCCTTTAGACATGATAGAGGTATTAAGAAGAACAACTGTTTGTATTTCAGTTTTGGCTGTACTTTAAAAAAGAATTCCTTTTTTGACCAAAACGAATAAGATATTCGAAAAAAAATTTCTGGGGGGTCCTGGACCTACTTTACAATTAAATAGCTACTTTGAAAAGTCATACTTTGTTTTGTCGTTGAACTTGAAAACTGGTGACTCATTTCTACAGGGTTCTTATTTTGTCATATCAGTATGTTGTTTGTCATAAAACTTTTATTGTTTTACAACGATACAATAAAACTTCTTCTGTTATGAATTGGCTGTTACTCCAAGGGTGTAATATGAACCCTGGTATTTTGATTTTTGGAAGGGAGTGGGAGTATGGAATTCTATACTGAAACTTTATGTTTGTTCGTTCAAGTTATAGAATGACATGTGACTTTACACACTTCAAAATGATACTGTCGTTCTAAATCGTGAGTGTCAGTTTATTTTAGCCTTGTAAACCCCATTTTGTCTGCAAACACTATAGGTTTCTGTAGGACATGTTTGCTGAAGGACTCCTTGATGAATAAATTTTAGTAGAATTCCTACCAAATGAAAAATAAAGTTCTTTCTATTATTATCCATTTACTGAAACGTCTTTTACTTCATCTAAGAAGGAACAATGTGACTGGGAGCTTTTCACATTTGTGCTCAGTGATGATTATATTGTGAAAATAAGCCTTAAGAACAAATCATATAATCATTCTGAATATAATAGGCTGTCATGTTCTGTGCTGATTTCTTAGATTTAATCCCAGTGCTTACATGCTATCACCTGTCAGAGTAGTGTGTTCTTTTTGCAAAACAGCATAATAACAGCACAGCATAATATAATTTGAAGAGACAGTGAGTTCAACTCCATTTGGTAGTTGTTTTGATTTGTTGATGTTTCTGTTGCTATAGTTTTTGTTTTATACCCGGTTTTAAAAAAGAAAGTATTATAAAAGTTATAACTGTTGTCTGTTAAAAAGAAAGTATTATAAAAGTTATAACTGTTGTCTGTTGTGAAATGGATAGGCTGTTTGCTGCTGCATTCAAAAGATTTAAGTTTGATTTTCTCAATAGGAAATCTGTTTTAATTGAATATGAACATCTCTGTTTTCTACTGGGATGTTGTGTATGACTTCATTTTGGTTGGCCTCAACATGCAAGGTCAAAACAGCCAATCTTCTAAATGATCTAACTGATGCTAATGGGAATATAGTTTATTTACGATCAGTCTGAGTGATATATTATTTTCACACAGTGATATGTACATATAGTTTGTTTAGCATAATTTTTCTGTTGTGTGAATGTTGAAGTGGACCAAAGAGTGAAACAAATGACTTGTTATTGTTTTGTTTTCGTACGTTATAATATTGCAGCTGAAGTCCACTGATAGTTACTGAATCTTGTCTCAACTACTGACTTTTTAATTCTTTTTATTGGTGTTACTCTTTGGATGAAAGGGGAAGGGTTAAAGCAACCATCCTCTTAAATGTTTCAAATTTTGTCGATGGGGGCATAAATAACAAACTTAAAGTTTAGAAAAGGCAATTGTTATTACAATAAAGTAAGTTGTGTTAGTATCCTCTGTGAAGACCCAATATGGGCCTACAGATAGAAGTAAACTAATTTTTATATTTTTGCTCGGTTGAAAAAATGAGATTGTTTTAAACTTGCCCCCCCCCCCCCCCCCCCCCCCCTTCGAAACATTAGTAATTTTTTTGTTTTATTTTACTGCAAGTCGTGTATGATTTTGTGGTGTGAACTGTTATGTAGGTTGTTGTTGGCCATAATTTGTCAGCCAGCTGTTAAAATGTACAAAGCCCAAAATTTGGACTAATTTTTAAATTGTCATTTCTTATTATGTGCTCCAGAAATATTTTGGGGAAATTCAAATTCTAAATGTTGAAAAAAAAAGCAAGAAAAATACATAATGCAGGTTCATTTGTTAAAAGAATGAAACGGTTTTAATAATAATAATAATAATAATAATATATAACATTTATATAGCGCATTTCCAAAAAATGTAGCTCAATGCGCTTTACATTGGAATACCCATTTTTCAAAACCTTTCTTACTACTTCCTTTCTTCTCAAGCAATATACATTAATGCACACACACACACATACACACACACACACACACACACACACACACACACACACACACACACACACACAGACTATTTTCATCCAGACATAGGAACAGAATAAATATAATGAAAGATAACGTTAAAAGCTTATGAAGGATAGGCCTGTAGGAACAGAAAATGTTTAAGATGTCTTTTGAAGCTATCAAGTGTTCTTATTTGTCTTAGTTTCATGGGTAATCTGTTCCATATAAATGGTTTACAGTCGCCTATGTAGTTGGTGTCGTCAGGGGAGTGAAAATTAGATCCAAAATGCGACAACACTTTTGAGAATCGTAAACAAGAGGAGGTGAAGGGGCCCGAGAAAAAGATCAACTTAACCGAAGATAAACTCTAGCGGGTTCAACTCAAGCAGAGTCGACTGTATCTCTCTGCTACAAAATTCTACTCTCTGAGCTTAGAACATTTTGCCAGCTGGTTGACGCTATGTTGCATGCATGGTCTCGGTGAGTTAAGCGTGTACGATATCTTGCCATTGTGTTACTGTCTCCAAAGCTCAGACACTTTGTAAAAGCATTGTTGCGTACACTTTAGATTTGTTTGTGTGTGTTACCTACCTACAGTGTCTTGCCATTGTTTTACTGTCTTTTTTAACATTTTATCCGAATTGTAAGCATAATTTACAAAGCACAAAAGCTGTGTAGTGCGTGTCATTTATATTGTTGAGGTTCATATTTTGTTTGAAGCTATTAACTCTTTATTGTTCTGGCCTTGTTTATTTACTTGAGTTTCTATGGTACTTGTGTATTGATATTACTGAGAAAATGCATAATTTGGCAATGTGCTTTTAACACATGTATGCTTTCCTTTGACACTTTATAGTGACCAATCATTCTGACAGTTCTTTGAACTGGTGATGATTATATTCAAGTTGTTTTTTTTCCAGCCTTAGATATTAGCAGAATGCGTTTGAAAGTTTTTTGTGTTTACATTTGTTTCTGTTTTTCTCTTTTTGTATTAAGAAAGATTTTCTCTTCATTTGCCATAATAATATGACTATAGCAAGACCTGTAGGCATATTTTTTCAACCTGAAATTGACCTCCATCTGGATGTTTATATTAGCTCAATATTATTTTGAACATTTTCAATATCGATTGCTTTTTCTTTTGTGAAAAAATTGGTTTTCTTTTTCTTTTTTCTTTGTAATTAACTTTTGTATTTGCCCTAAAAATTTCAATGCCAAAATATCACCAATACCTGGTTCAGTACACTATTTGCTGGAGTCAGGATCAAAATTATCATGCTACTTGTTTTTTGTGCTTATCCATTGTTCACTATATTATAACGTGTTGTTGCCTTTTTCTTTCTTTAAGATATTATATAAATGTACTCACTTAACTTTGTTTCTGCTTATCACCACATGTATCTTTGACTTCCTGCTTGCAATTTTTATTATTTTTAACCAGTATTAGACACCACATGTGATTTTAAAGTGAAAATCTTTGTAGTCAAACTTTAGCTTCCGTTTTTTCTCATGTGATACCAATGTAGCCCTGATATTACATTAGTACATTAGTTGTCAGTATTAGTGGCGTGTGACTTAGGTCAGTGTTTGGTTGGTGTCCCCTGTATTGCTATACCCCCCCCCCCTCAAATAATCAATATATTTTTGTCAATATATATCCATTGCACATTTTAAAAAAGGGTTGATGATGCCTTTAATGGTAGAATAGCAAAATATGTATCCTCTGTGCCCAGATGTATTTTTGTGACTTTTAGTTAGGGTTGCTGTGGTTTTTGCACTTTTTTTCTTTTTGTTCATTGTAAGCACGGGCCCTACAATCTCGAACGAAGTTGAATTAGTTCGAACAGACCAAGTTGTCTTCAGTCCTCGTGCTAGCTAGAGTGGTTTTCAGGGAAAAAAATGCTGAGTGAAAAAGGAAAAGAAGAAGATTAAAGGAAACCGCAAAAGAAAGGAGTAGCGATGGCTTTTTGGGTATGAGGGTAGCAGTTTAATATACGTTAGGAGAATGCTTTAGTATAGTAGTAGTAGTTAGGCTCTTCGCGATTGCATGCAGGAGAAACAAGTTCGATTCCAGAGTAAGAGAGTTATTATTGAACATCTTTGTCTTTCTGCTTGTTTTGTAATTATGAATTATTTTTTTAAGTACAATAAAATCTGTTTATAACAATCACTCAAGTTCACAGAGAAAAATTGCCAGTATAGACAAGTGTCCACTGTGGACAGGGAATGAGTTGTGGTCACTTACGAGACATGTGAAAATGGACTGCTCAGTGTAAGACTGTCATACGTCACTTTTCAAAATGGTGTATCACGGACTCTCACCATTGAAATGAATCCTCATATGGTTCATATATACCACCATCAACAGGTAGGCTATGTTCAGCAGATACTTGTAAGCCTTTGGGTAAGCACTACATTAAGTCACACCCCCTCTTGTTTAAGTAGCCAGTGAGTGCTTAGGCAGAGGATAAGCCTATACTGATGTAAGCTGACAAAACGCCTTTTTTTATTCACTGCAGTTTCGAGAAAAAGAGGTTTTCTGTCAGCGTAACCTTTGAAAAATAGCGTTCTTCTGAAGTTTTAATTCAAATTTATTCAAAAACTAGTCACTGTTTCACTTTGATTTTTTCACAGAAGTAGGATAACTGATCAGGCTTTTGATTTAGCAAATAAAAAATGTTGGCACCAAAATGAAATGAGGCCTTTCGTCAGATTACTTTAGTATAGCTGCTTCTTCGCATTGATTGAACATAAATGCTCAGGCTGAGGATGGGATGGTGGACAATTTTTGTAGCAAGTGACTGCTATGGGCTGGTTTGGAGACTGATCGTGGTGACATTAGCCAGGGACCGCTATAGAGACGTGATCAGTAAAATAAGTTCGACTGTATTTCCCTGTGGCTTTGCATGATAAATATATAAGACTGCATACTACTTTATATAGTTTGAGTTCTTTTTGAACAAAGGCTTGTTTTTGCATATGATGTCAACAAATGTATGTTTGTTTACTTGCTTGACCAGAATGTTGTATTCTTCAGTTTCAGAACATTTGTCCTCACATGATCAATATATTTTTATGCATTATGTATTTGGCATCATGGTAAAATCAGGCCCTCATCGAAATAATGAAATCGAAGAACCAGAATTGTTTCTGCCAGTTGGGCAATTTTTATCTTCTTTTTTTTTCCCTTAATACCTTGTATGTTTATTCAAAAACTCATTTCAGTGTGGATTTCACCTGAGAACGATGATCAAAGGCAGAAAAAAATGTAGATTTGCAGTTGCCAAGGATACTCAAGCTTGGGAAGTCACCAAACTTTGGGGGCCATCTTTTCACTAATTTTACATCTGACACCAGGTGATCCCCACCTCATTCATTAGCAAATATTTCAACTTCTATTCAAGATAGATTGGGGAGGGGGGGGGGGCATCAAGAATAAGACAAATGAACAAG